AGTTAGCTCAGAGGCAATGCAGTATAAATGTATGGTGCTTGCAAACATGGAATCTGGATGTGGAATCTGGCTGGGCCATTTCCTACCTGCCAGTTGACTTACTTGAGCCTGAAATTCTTCATCTGTTAAATGGTAATGCTTTCTTCTTGGCCCTTGGCCCCTCCAATTTTACATCCCATCCTTCTAGAAGGGAAGCTCTTTAAGGGCAGGGAAGGGGTCACATCTTCCTGGGGCTGAGGACATGCAGGAACCCCTACCAGGGCCCCTCCTTCACAGGAAAGAGCTTGCACACGACCTAACTGGTGACTCAGGGCACACTCCTTGGTAGGTGAAAGCTCCCAGCATGTGGAGGACGCACAGGAAAAGCTGGTTGAGGCCTTGGCTCCTGCTTATGCAGACGTGGGAAAGAGCCTAAATCCTGTCTTCAGCCCATAAGTGGTACAGAGAACTAGGTGGTGCTGGAAGTTCCATAAAGGCAGAGTGCAGTTCTCAGGTTTTCTACAAGTCTGTCCTGCAGGTGAGAGTATCAGAGCTAGAGGGAAGGGCCAATGGAGGTATGGTTTAGAGGCAGTTCTTACAGCTGTCATCTGTTTTGAAAGGAGGTTTCTTCAGAAACTCTCCACTCTTGCTGTGTTTGGGGGCTGACCATAGAAGGCGATGCCTACCTCCCTCCCTCCCTCCCTCCTTCTCTTTCTCCCTCCTTCTTTTCCTTCCTTCATTCCTGGTCCTGGAGTTTGAACCCAGGAGCTCAGGAATGCTAAGCAAGTCCTCTACCACTGAGCAACACCCTCAGCCCTTTTTATTCCTTGTTTTGAGACATAGTTTCATTGAATTGCTCAGTCTGGCCTTGAAATTGTGATCCTCCCAACTCAGCCTCCCAACCACCTGTGATTACAGTTGTGCACGCCCTCGCTGGTTTGATTCATTAAAGTAACGAGGTCCTACTTCCCAACTTTGCCCATGTCCTTTCCCAAGGTGCCTGTCTGTGAGTCTCACAGTCCAAGTGCATTAGCCAGGGACACAAAGTCCCCCATGTTCTGCCTGTAGCATTCCTTTGCAGCCTCGTGTCCTGCCATATGCCCTCAGTCTCTCTGTCCCTGGTCTCACCGGATTAGGATTAGTCACTTTCCCTGAGAACGCCCTGAACTCATCCTCCTGAAAGTCTCTGCACATTGTGTTCCCCTTAGCCTATTTTCTTTTTCTTCACCCACGGGAATTCTCTTGGGTGTTGGACTTAGTTTAGAAGTCACATCATCTGCAGAGAACTTCCAGATCGTTCGCATGACACTGCATGGACCTGTTCTGCTGTGTTCCTTTCAGCCTGTCTGGTGTGCTCTGGCACTTACCCAGGGAGATAGGAAGGTCCTCAACATCTGGAGCTCTGGACATAGCAGATCAGCAAGGTCTACACACAGCCCTGGCCAGGACTGAAGGTGCTGGTGAACATCTGCTTTGTGCACTGCTGACTGTAGGGAATTTGACATCATGTTAACTAACAGTTATGCCAGAGGGGTCTCAGAAGCCCATACTGAGATTGCCTGTGGTTTGTTTGATCATGAGCCCAGCCATTTGAATTCTAGTTTTGAATTCATTCGATATTTGCTCACTTTTCAGAGAGGCCTGTTTCCCAAATACCAGTGGATGTCTGATTCATGCCAGGTCTCTGAGCTTTTTATTTTACTTAAGAATGTAACAACAAGGTGAAATTTAGGATGGATTTACCTGCCTCTAATATGAACCTTTTTTTTTTTTTTTTTAGTTTAAAAAGGCAACCATTATTTTTATCCCAAAGCTCCTTGAAACGTGATGAGAACAGGAGTTTTCAGGTATGTTTCTGCCTTGAGCAGAATGACTCCCCATATTATATATAGCTTTCACTGCAATTTATAAAACTTGTGTCATGGAGCTTGATTTTGAAGACCAAGGTTCAAATCATGAAGTTATTAGTCCATGTTCCTGAAACTTTGGTCAGGTGCCTACTTCGCTGATCTTACTTCCTCAGTGTACAATTGGGGAACAGTTTTTATAGGGTCAGTAGAAAGCATGAATAAAATTTCGGACATAAAATTGTGACTTTATACATTTCAAAAAGCTGGAATTGGAGGCCACTTTTAAGTAACATTTTAAAAGTTTGTATTCAAAGGAAAATACTTAGAAGTGTAAGATGTCATGGAGTATTTTGCTGTTTAATGCGAATTTGAATTAATTTACTTTCAAAGGACATATATTATCTAACAGACTTAGACAATATAAATGGCTCCTGATAGAGTTTAGTTGAAACAAATTAGAGCCACAGGAACTTAAGCTTTGAGGACTTATAGAAACCTGAGAGGGAGGAGATGGACGTGAATTAATGCCTGTTATATGCAACTTCTGTGTTGTACGTGCTGGATATGGAGTCGCAGAAAATGATTCCCTGCACCTTGATAGGTAGAAGGTCTGAGTACCATTTTGGAGACTTAGAAACTTCAGCTCAGAGAGGTTAAAATCATTTTCATAGTCCAATATCAAAGCCAGGACTTTCCAATTGTATTCTTGATACCTTCTAGAAATCCGTTCCATTTACAGGTGCGACAAGGTCTACCTTTGCTCTGCTGCTTCTTTATCTTCTTCCTCCACTAATTCAGGACCAGATAAAGCAATAAGAATCTGCACTCCGATGTCCTGTATCTTGTTTAAAGCATCTACATGAGTGTCTTGACTTTGCCTGCCAAAAATGTCTTCTTAAAATGTGTCCTTCTGAGCTCCTTTCACGACACACATTCATCAGCCTTTACTTCTTTTCTTCTCTTTTGGAGAGATATTTGCTATTGCCTGTCTCACTTTAGAAGTCAGGAGGCTCTTTAAAGGTTTCAGTTTTCTTTTAAAGACCATGAGTAGAAAAGCAAATTCACTGGCCATTTCCTCCCATCCTCTGCTGTCTATGGGCAGGCATGTGGACGGGGGTGACAGGGAGCTGGGGGTCTGTCTCTGACTGGGGACAGGACGTAGTGCCTCATTTGCAGGTCTTCTATGTCTTTACCGTAAAAAGTGAGGGCACCCTAGGTGTTCCCTAAGTTTTTAAAATTATGCCGATTTTAAGGTGTCAAAGACATCAATTTCTGCTGAGCTGCATAATCCTGCAGCTGTTTCTCTGATACTTTTCAATCTTTAGATTTAATCTATTCAACAATGTATAATTTTTTAAAGAGAAGCTTTTATAGACACTTCTGAAATATAAGGTTGGGGAGGGGGATAAATGGATGTTGAAAAATAGAAAACAACCAATTAAATAGTATATAGCATGTAATTCTCCTTGGAAACTTACCACGAAATTGAGGAGCTCTTTAACAACTGGTAATTTAAATTGCATTTGAACTCTGCTAATGGTTTGTTTGCATGGGAACTTCAATCATTTCACAGCGGTTCTTTAGCAAAGCTGCTTGTTCTCTTTGTGGAAAAGAAGAAAAAAATTATTAAAACACAAGTCAGCTATGAAAAGGGGAGCCCACTTCCACTACAACAAAAAGGGGAGCTGGAGAGACTCCCCCAGGGCCAAGGGTGGACAGCTTTTGCCTCTCAGTGAGGTTTAGAAATCCGGGAAGTCACATGCCCTTTGATGCTGTTGTGAAAACTGTTCTGATTTATCTTCCTCTGTGCAAAAAGAAGCTTTGGTTCGGTTTTATGGACCTTGGGTGGGGCAGCTTGTCTTTTTGTTTTCTATGAGATTTCACCGTCCATATCTCCAGTGATGACCTTTTATCCGTCCATTCCTCCGCAGATTTTAACTGTGCCGCTCTGTGGAAATGGGTTTAGAACTCTGATGTTCTCGAAGACAACCAGCTTTCAGGGAACTCTTTGCTTACCTAGGCACATCTCAGGTCAGCTCTGTTTTCCTTGGTTAGTTTCTTCCTATTGTTGGAAGGAGGAGGTTTGAGCAGGTGTTCAGAGGCCTGGGTGTGAGTCCTAGTTTGGCTCCAAAGCTGATTGTGTGTAAGCCCCTGCCCAGTAAGTCTGTGTCCATCAAAGCAGGTGCTGCCTAGCTGTGGTGGACCACGGCCTGGACTTCCTGCCACCAACAGTGGGCTCCCTGAATAATCCCCTCCCTGTCCTGGACCCTAGGTTCTTTCCTTATCACTTGAAAGAGTTGAGATGCCAATTTTTAAGGGCCTTTCCAGCTTTTGAATTTTTTTTTTAAACATGTACTACACAAGGTTTTGTTTGTTTATTTGTTTTTGTTTTTTGGTACCGGGAATCGAACTCAGGACCTTGCGCTTGCCAGGCAGCTGCTGTGCCGCTGAGCTATATCCCCGGCCCCAACTTTTGAACTTGTGTAGGGATTTGAAGACTGAATGAGGTGACATACAGGAAGCTGTTATATGATTGATTAGATAATGCTTAAAATCACAACAGTGCGAGTGGGAATGGTATGTGAACTTCGTGTGTGTACAGAAGCAGAAATTTTAACAAGTCACTGGACTGCTTTTCTGTAGAATACGCATTACACAAAACTTAGAAAAGAGGACTAATTCTTGACAAAATGAAACCCGTACTGAGGACTTTCAAAAGTGTTCCGATTTTCTGGCTTTCTTCCTTTGGCTTCCTTTCCTCTGTCAATTTTCAGACAAGGAAATTAAAGTTCAAAGATGCCACTGGGCCCTGTCGTTAAAAAGTTGTCTTTCAACTCTTCCTCCTCCTCTCTTTTTATTTGATGTAGTTTAGATTGATTTCAGATTTTTCTCGTTTACAATGTAACTAATTGATCTCTTTCACCTCCATTATTAAGACAAAGCTGTTTTCCCGGGAGACCTCAGATGTGACGACCGAGACACATCATTCTGAGACAAATTAGTGAAGTGCAAGTGGTAGAATCTGACTGGGGGCTTAAGAGGCATAGAGGGAAGCTCCAACAGCCACCATTGGCCTCCAAGCCTGGCGTCACCCCACTGTGGGCTAGTCAGAGGCTTTATAACCTGGGAAGTTCCGAAGCTCCTAAGCAAGCGCCTCTCCTATTTTCACAGGTGGTGACCTTGAAGATCAGAGACAGAAGTGAAAAAGGAATCCAGTGAGCTGTTTCTCAGCCCTCTGCTGTTTTCATTGTTCCTCTGGGCACTCAACAGAGGGAAGATATTTTTCCTCAACTGGTGAGTCCTACACAGAAAAGATGTTTCTCTTGTAAAATTAACTAGCATGTTTCAGTGAATTTAAAAAAAAAAATCAATTGTTTTCATTTAAAGCGTGGCACCATTTAACTAAGATTAAAAACTAAAGAAGATCAAAATGTCCTCTTTTTTAAAAAAATGTGATTTCATTGGCAGTGGGCAGGATACAATAATGCTAATAAATTGTGTGGCAAAGGAAAAGGCAAGACTCAGCTCTTGGAAGGGGTCATGCAGAGAAATTGGGGGAAAAACTGGAGGAATAATGATTTCAGGTTGCCAATAATTGTATTCTGTCTTTTTCCTCATTTGGCATGAAGGAAAGTGTTTTTGAAATTGACAGACAGAAACGAAAATGTCAGGCAACAATGATACGAACATTTGGGAGGAAAGAAAGCAATACCAGTATTATCGAGTGTCTCTTGCTTACTCCTATGCAAGGTGATTTTTCTGTGGTCTCATTTGTTTCCACACGAACCCTCAGAGGTAAGAAGCCTAAGAAATGTGCTTAGGCAGAGTGTGTGAACCTCTGTGGTGATGGGCCTGCTGGTGTTCCATTGTGATGTAAGTGTGAATCTTGCTGTTCATTTGGAAAGGAAAATGGGACCAGGAAAACTAAGCTTTACCTTGTGCATCTGGAAATACTTCCAAAAAAAAGTGTGTGTGGTGAACACAATCAGGATTCTCTGGGCTATGGTGAGATCTGAGGAAATGGTTGGAGAATTCTGGCTCAGGCTTCCAAGTGGGATTCTAGTTTTGTGGTCTCCATGCTGAGGTCTAATCCTTATCCACTCAAGCATTGGCACTGCACTGTGTAAATAATATACTTTGCCATGTTTGTGGTATAGCTCTTCAAAACAGAGCAGATGCTGTTGTGATTGATAAAATCCAACTTCATTTAAACGTGTAACTGAGTTCTTAGGGGCGTTTTCTTGCTCTGTCTTGATCAGTGTATACCTGATTTTCTCTGTCCCTGTAGGTCTGCATAGCATAAAAGGTGGATCTCTGCGACCTTGACTATCCAACATCTTACTTTGTTAAAATCTCAAACACAATCCTGAATGTTTTCCCCCTACCATACAGTTGAAGCATCAAATAGGAATCGTTCACTGCTGAGTTTTCTCAGGGTTTAAAATTAAACTGTGACAAAATATGCAGGTTTGCACTTGGATTTGAAGAACTCAAGTGAATAATAACAGAATAGGAGAGATTACTTTAACAGGAGTGAGCTGAAATAGGTTCAGAAATTCTTGTCCATAAACTAGTTGTGAAGCAACAGAGGCTTTGCTCTCTACTATGTGGATGTAGCCTTAAATGCTGTTAAAGGGACTTTGGTATCTGCAAGGACGTGGATGGCTGACTCTGCAAACCCTGAACCCCTAGAACCTGGGAAGTCCAGCAATAGCGTGGGCTTTAGGCTCAGCTTGGACAGTACTCCAGTTGTGTTTTTCCGCCATCTTTGTTGTGTTGGCTTCATGCTCAGGTTGTTCTACTTCATGGTCATGAGATAGCTGTCCACTACAACCCAGGTGGTGGGCGTCTTTCTTCTTATTCAGAGGAAGGACGGCCCTATTTGCCGCGTTCTCCGAGGCTTGGGTTACTGTCCATAGCTGACACAGTCACTGTGGCAAGAGGACTGTGTTAGCTGACATGAATGAACAAGGGCCATCTTAGAACTGAATTAGGAACAGTGTCGTCTGACTATGACAGCAGCATCACAGTGGAGAAGAAATGGCTCCTCAAAGAAATATCCAGGTACTGTTAGGAAGAGAGGACTTGGAGCTATATGAGGGACTGCAGACCCTTTGTATCCTGTTTACCCTAGGAGCCCTCTTAGGGTGCCCATCTTTAGTCTTTGCTTCACCTTCTGAAGGAGCACTAGCCCTCCAGACTCTACCCCAGGATGATGAGGGGGCCAGAATGCAGCCTCACCAAGAACTATTATAGGTGTGAGTCCATGGAGAAGGCGGGATCCTGGAACCTTGCAAGAATGTAAAACCAAGTCCAAAGAGAGACAGTGTTTCTTGTCCATGTGCAAGTCCCCGTAATCTGCAGGGTGTAGGGCTCACTAATAGATGCAGTATGCCTTTTCTCAGCTAGGGTAAATGTGAAGGTAGCGTTCCTTTCCCTAATGGTGCTCTGTCAGCGCCCGCTGAGTATCTGTGGAGCAGTGGCAGGAATCCTAGCATAGATGAGGCCGGACTACAGAGTTTTTGAGAATTAAACAAATGGTTTGACAGAAAGAGAGAGGCTTTGGGGACCAATGGCTGAAGAGCACTGTGAGTGTATTAACAGGCAGACTGTATCAGGATAGGGTAACAGCAGCCCTGCCCAACATGAGATGTACAATTCTAGAAGAACATCTTTCTACCTTCACTTTCCTGATCTCTGAATTAGAGACAGGGCCATTGTCTTGCTTGCCTGTCGTGTTTATTTAGAAAAAGTGTGTGGATAGGTGCTAAGCTGTTTATTAAATTACACGGTGTGGTCCATATGTGATGGATTCTTCCAATTGATTTCTTCTTAGAGATTCGTGTTGAATGTGCAGAAATATAAGACAATATGTCAAGTGCCCAGCACTACGCCTGATGCACCGTACACAGTCAATAGGTAGCCTTCTTCTAGGATCCTAGATATCCTTCTAGATATCGTCTTCTCCTAATATCTTCTAATACCGTCTTCTAATAGCCCTGTCCATGGATGGGCACATACTCGATCTCTGCTTTGAAAGGCAGCTTGATCTGGAGCCTTGCCTCTTAATGATAATTAAAGTTGAAATAAACATATATATTATTATGGCTTTTTACATTTATTTTTGACTGAGGCCAAAGAGGCAGAAGGAGGCACATCTGAAGACCCAGGAAGGTCGACGCTGGAGAGACCCCATAGAAACAATAGTTTGTTGGATTCTTGCTTTGTTTGGGGAGATAATCACACCTTCTACTTCAGGCATGAGCAGTCCAATGAGAGCCAGGAAGGAAGTTATTTCCCTTTTTTGATACCAGTGTACAATAGGTGACTGCAGCCAAAGACTTTCAGTTTTAATATTTCCTCTGGTCCTGAGAAGTATTAGGTTTTAGTCTCTGTCGGAAGCAAAACATGGGTTACTTCCGCCTGTGGCGAATATCTTGGCTCTGTACAGTTATTTGGTCAGGTGGTTTCTGACCCGCTGCTTAGCCAGATTTTTGTGCTTTGCTTCAACAATTATAAGAGAACTTGCTCGGTCCAAGGTGCGACCCATCAGCTTTTTCAAAGTCTGTGGCTCTTTATGTACTCGAGGGACACATCCTAGGAGGTATGTTTGCTGTCCATAAGAATAAACAGTAGAGGGGCTGGGGATTTAGCTCAGCGGCAAAAAGCGCCTGCCTGGCAAGCGCAAGGTCGTGAGTTCGGTTCCCGGTACCGGAGAAAAACCCAAAAAAAAAAAAACCCAAAAAAAAGAATAAACAGTAGAGATACCTCTCTTTAACATCTTTTCTCCTGACTCCAAGTTCTTCTCTTTCTTGGCTTTTGGCCTAGAGGAGATACCTTTACTCTAACTTGAGAATGGTACCAGGAGATCAACCGATTCTTAAATTCTTCCTCAATGTGTTACTGTGTGGTAGAAGGGATCTGATATCTGAATGTGTGGAGAGTTCTTTGTAGATTGCTGCTAAATATCTACCCTTGGGTTGCAGTGTGTGCTTGTTTTCTGCTCTATTCCAAGTATTCAGAGGACAGTACATTGGAGAATCTCCATTTACTCCCTTCCTCCCGCCCTCCCTCTTTCTTTCTTTCCTTCCTTCTTTCCTTCTTTTGCATTTTTGCTTTTTTTCTTCCTTCTTTCTTTCCTCCTTTCTTTCTTTCTTCTTTTGCATTTTTGCTTTCTTTCTTTCTTCCTTCTTTCCTCCTTTCTTTCTTTCTTTCTTTCTTTCTTTCTTTCTTTCTTTCTTTCTTTCTTTCTTCCTTCTTTCTTCTTTTGCATTTTTGCTTTCTTCTTTTGCAGGTATTCTAACATTGAGCTATACCTCTAGCCCCCCTGCAGAATCTTTAAGACACTGTAATGAAGTGAACGAGGCATAATCCTGGATCTTGGGAAGTGCATAGTTGGGCAGAAATACACACATATGAGGAAGGTATTGTTTATAACATGTTTATTAACCATCAGATACATTTCATGCTTCATGCTAGGTATTGGGGAGGTCAAAGTAAATAAATCACAACCGTAGATGTCTCAGGGCCCACATATACACCTGGGAGAGAACAGAAAGAATTGGGCTCACTGGAGAAGACTTCCTGGAAGAGGAGACCTGATCTTAGCATACCTTTCTTCACCAATGGTACTTGAAAAAATTTGACAGTGTGTGGAGTCTATTTTTAAAAAAAAATAGCAGCATGACCTTTTAGAGGAAAAACACAAATTTTCAGTTAATGGTGTGCTTCTGTGCCTCTATATTTTTGCCGTCCTTGGCACTGAGAGATGCTTTGATGGAAATGTCTGGAAGTTCATGCTGGAGCCCTGTGCTGTATAGGTGAGAACCTGAGAGCTGGAGAAGATGGAGAGTCTGGGGCCACTGACTCCGTGGGTAGTGGTGGGCACGTTGACCAAGGCATGTTTTCAGTTCTTATCTTGAACCCTGTCCCAGAGACAGATTAGGGGAAAATAGGCCACCGTTTGGCACCTTGAGTCCTGATGTTGTTCCTTTCGTTATATTTCAGGGATCTGCTCCTTTTGTTGGGTCACGGCGTATAAGTCAGTATCACTTGGCTTAGACCGTGCATCTCTGCAGTTAGGCATATCATTTGCTTTAGGAACAGAGAATCCGCACACAGCATTGCTGGGAAGCTGACGGGCTCACACTGGAAACCACAGCCAACACCTCTGTCTGCAGCAAGCTTCTTTTTAGGGCATTCATCTCTTCCCTCCCATTTCTTCCCTGCTCTTTACAAAACCAGGCTTGACAGTTCATTTTACAGAAGGGGGAAGGTTCTTTAAGAGTCCACCA